TAATTCTTTCTATGTTCTAGATAGAAGCCCTTTGTCTGGACAAAGGGACAATCAGCTAAAATTTTGAAAGCAGAGGACATTGTTATATACTTCAGCTGCAAAATTGCCTGAGGAATCTGTGTAGCGATGACCTGCAGTCATGGTTGGTTTTTGCCATGCCAAGTAGAACAAAAGCTGAAAACTGCATGGTATCCAAAAGGACTGAGGAAAATGGGAAAGATACTTCGAAAGAGGGATATTGCTCCGGAGCCTACTGTGTCATTCTGCATCAAAATGCAGTAAGCATTCTGACTGCATATAATTTAGAAATTGAGTATATATTTTTGGTAAGTTTTCTGCTATTACTTCTGTGAACAGATTTTTTTATATCATTTGCATTGTCTTATTTTTTGTTGACTCTAATCAATCTTATTTTATTCTTCCTTGAATCATCTAGCCACTGTTGGATTGATTTTTCGTGGTCCCATGCTATTTTCAAGAATTTTCTTTTCATGATCACTAACCACAGTCCCGCCTTAGATATGATATTCTGTCCTCACACTGGTTTATTTTGCGGCATGTACTTTCAATAGAATTTTTCATCTCCTGGATATCTGATTGAATCTGTTTCATGGATTCCATTTGTTTACCATGCTGGGCCTTCATGGTTTGCATCACTTTCCTTAGCTCCTCTCTTTTTTCGCCTGTATCTTTCCTAGATTGATGATCCTGCCTTCATATGGTCACTTTAGTGATCTGAAAAATTATTTCTGACTTGATTTTTTTCTAGAGCTGCATTCATTTCCTTTGTTCCTTCCACCGTTACCCCTTCAGAGAGTCTAGGTAGGTGTCTTTCAAATTGCTCCACCTCACTGCCCTCTGGCTTTACCTTTGTTGAGCTGGAAGTCTGGGGTTGCATCTTCCTTCTGTATTGTCTCATTACTTATTTATTTAGTTTCATTTTTTCATTGATGCTTGCAAATAGTTTATGGCAGGTATCTTTATTGCTAGTTTGGGAACCTGTAGGAAATGACTGCTTCTCAGACATGTCTTGTAGGCATCACTGGTTTTGTGGTTTTGAGTCTTTTGCAAGATTATACTTCTCTAATATATTGAAGGTGAGAAATTGTTGCCTATTTGGCTTAGCCCCCGGTTCTTTGACACTGGCCCACAGTATTATTTATGACCCTCAGGCAATCTCAGTCTAAAGTAGGACAATCAGTTATGCAATAGCATCAGACACAGCCTCAAAAATGACAAACTGTGGTAAGTATTAATTTGCTACCTTTAACCATATAATCAGTATTGTAGTCATAGAACAAAATCTAAAACAAACCAGAAAATTTTGTGCAGTAAATACCCCCTCAAAAGGGTGATTTTACCCTTGGGGAGGAAATTTGAAAGGAGTTAGGGGAACAAATAGAGAAGTAGAAGAGAAAAGGATTAAGGCAAGGCTGGAGGACAAAGGAAGATTGTGCAGGCTGTGGGAACTGATTGAGACAATGCTAGGGAATTAAATAAGAAACACAATAAAGTAAACAAAACCTACACACACTATCCTCACTCATAAAAAGAAGAACAAACAAGAAAGAAGGAAAAAAATTTAAAATATATAAAAGCAAAGAAAGGAGGAAAAGCAGAAAAAAAGTTCTCTTCAGAGCATGTCTCTGCTGTCACTGGTTGACAAAGGGGACAGACAGAACCCAGATCCATGTTGATTGATCCCGGCCAGCAAGCAGTATAATTCTGGTGCTGGTGGATTATCCCAGTAAACCCGGGCCTTTAGTTCCACTGAAGTTCAGCCTGCATTGGGTTTCTGGCTGTGAGGCTGGCACCCAAGATTTATAGCTTGAAACCCTCTGAGTGCCTCCTGCCATCTTGAACTCTGTTCTCTGACCCTCTGCCAGCTTGAAGTCAGCTGCAACTCATGCTGACACTTGGGGACACTAGACAGAGCCAACTCACAGCTCCTCCAACACTAGAGATGATGGATGCTCTAGCTTGGACCTACCATGTCCCTTCCATCCCACGTGCTAAAGGCAGGGAGCCAGGGTTCTGCTCTTGGGAGAGAATGGGGCTTTGAGAGATGAGGACTTGTAACTTCTCCTTAGCACATTGAGGCGGTGCCCTGGAACAGGCCTTAGGGATCTCAGTGCTCTCTTCTATCGTTTTCTGGCTGTAAGGTGAGCAGCTCTGCTCCGTCACTCACTCCTATCGTGTCCAGCTGTTTCACCACAGACAAAGCAGGAAGGCCAGACTCAGACTGGGAACTTCAGACTCAGTCACAATGCAGCCTTTCCCTTCACATTTGGATTATCTCACTTTCCTTTTTTTTTTTTTTTTTTGCTTGTTTCTGTAACAGTATGTAGCCCAGTCTGACCCGAAACACACTGTATAGCCCGGGGTGGGGGTGGGGGCCTCAAACTTGCCTCATTCCTGGTATCTCAGCCTCCCAAGTGTTGGGATTACTGGCATTAACCACCACGCCTGGCTCTCAATTATCTTCTCAAAGAGATGGGAAATCCTAACACAGTAGGAATTCCAGCGAGCATGGAATTCATATCAGCCCCCTTAGTGATCGCATCTGCCCATTGACGTTAGAGACTGGGGAGCTCAAACTCACTGATCTACAGCCTCTGTACAACAATGGAAACAAGAGGGACTCAGAAAGCGATTATCACTCCCTCGTCATACAAGATCAAATAGGAGCTACCTAAAGAGTCCTTCTAGACCCACTCCCTAGGTAAATGAAGTGTCAGGCAATAAACCTCATAATCCAGTGTGACCTCCATCCATTTACCCCACACCGTCACACCAAAACTTGGAAAACTAGAGTAGCAGGCAAGGGTTCTCAAAACTCCTAACACAAGAGGCAGCAGGACCCTCAGCCTAAGAACTGCCAGCTTTCCTATAACATCACAGGGTTCTGTTCAATGATGAAAATGTCAACAAATTATCTCCCAAATCCGAGAAAATATCATCTGGTTCTCATTCAGCATAAGCCTTGCTCTGCCTCTCCTGTCTCCCTAACACAAGGTAGCTGGATCCCCTGCAGGGACACCCTAGACTTCCCAACACAATCATCTCAGTAGGTGGCCCACCACGGTCTCCAGCATAAGCATCAAACAAATCCTCAGAAAACTAACGCATTCTATTATTGTGAACTAATAGTTAATAGAAGCTTCAGTAAGCAACATCCTCAAAACAAGTGAGGGTGGCAATCCAGAATGCAAATCTTCACTCCTGCCCCAACATGAGATAACTGCTCCTAGGTGACCCACCACATATCCCAACCACAAGGCACAACTTGAGCCTCAGCAGGTTCCCTTCACCCTTTGCTTGCACGTGTCTCTGTTCCCTCAGGAGTGGACAGAAAGAGCCCTGTCAAATCACACACCTTGTGCCCCAGAGAATGCTGACATCCTCGGTCTCAGAACACAGAAGACAACAGGAGTCCTGACCAGCCAGCCGGTACTCCAAGCTCCCATAGTGCAGATGACAGAAGCCCCATAAACAATCCATCCCTAATCTGCTCTTAAATCTAGGCCTTAAAGCACCAACTGCTCAAAGGGCACCAAAGGAAAAGGAAAGCTGGAGCAGGCTCTGGCACAGGACAGGGAGGAAGAAGACATTTTCCTTGTGTCCCACACCTGCCCATGACATCCAGAGACCATGAATGACTGCTATATAACCAGACTGTGAGGAGCAAGCTGGACCAGAAGAAAAGCTGCACTGGGCTGTGCTGACATGGTCTGGAGGAAAAGATGCAATGTCCTCCTCCCCCAAGTACACCAAGGATGCTACTGTGGCCCATGCCCACTAAGAATACTTGTGTTCTGAGTACCTGCTCCTCATACTGAATCAGAAATGACCCATGGAATCTATAAAAAGCTAGTGCAGTAGTGATTGTGTGGCGTTTTATGCCAGGTCAAGCACACATGAAGTCTTCCTCCCTACATCTCTTGGGTTGTGTCTTCTAGCAGAAGCCCCGCCATGCCATGAGGGTACTCAAGAAGCTCCGTGGAGGGGCCATATGCTGCTGCTAAATTTCTGGCCGTGAAACACAAATTTGGAAGAAGATCTTGCCCCCGTCAAGTTTTCAGCTGTAGTTCATGAGCTGATGGCTAAAATATGTAGCACAAAGGTAACGCTGTGTGGGATATCCTTCACACTGCACTGACAACAGGACAGACTGACGGATGATAGAGGAAAGGATGAGGCAAAGAAAGTATTGAAAATGTGACTGATGAAATTCATGTGATATAGTTTGTAAATTTGCTGGGATGGCCATAAGAAAATAGCACAGACTAGGATACTAATCAGCAGAAATTCAGGCTGTCAGGGACCTGAATGCTGGAGGTCTGCCATCGTGGGGCTGGCTGGGCTGGCTTCCCCTGGGCCTCCCTGGTCTCCTGATGTACAGAGGGCTGCTTCTTGAGACCACACCTCATCACCACCTGCAGGGATGGCTGTCTTCATCTCCTCTTCTTTAGGAAAGTAGCAAGACTGGATCAGGACCCACCCTAAAGGCTGAAGTTTAATTTGGTCACCAATTTAAAGTGAAAGTAGAAAAGCCCAGCACTGTGGCACAAACCTATAATCTCAGCAGTCTGGGAGGAGAACTGCAAGATCAAGCTCAGGAGATACACTTTAAAAAACAAGTGAGACACAGCCAAAAATTAAAAAAAAAAGACAAAAATGTCTAGGGTTCCAGCCCAGTGTGAAAGTCCTGGGTTCAATCTCCTCTTCCCACAAAAGAGGTGAAATGTCCAAATACAGTTACATTCTGAGGTACTGGTGGTTTATAGCTCCAACATGTGAATGAGGAGGCTTTAGTTTAGAAAACCATGAGAGAGGATGAAATATGTGTTTCTGCTCTTGAAAATCTCACAAACAATCCGTACTCCATGTTTGTCTCATTAAAAGAGTTTAATAAAGAACAGCTTGGCTTTCACAAGATTATTGGTAAGGGCAGTATCGGTATTAGACACAGGGAAATCAGAAACGTCTCTCCAGTGGCCTCACGCCTGGGATTCCCCAGCAGTCCCTGCTCCCGCTTCCGTCTGGTTTTCAGCTCTTTCCTCCTGGCTACTGGCCTCTGCCTCCCTGGCCAGCCTGTCTGCCTGCAAGGCCATGGCTAATCTCTCCCTGGCTTTCTTCACTCTCCGAGTCTGTCTCTGGATGTCTGCAGCGGTGACCTGCTGGCTGGAAGAAGGAGGTAAAAGATGCAAAGCTTCCGGGATCATCTCTTTCCAAAACGGAGACAGGCCGGGGGTGGGCTGCAAGCTCTCAACTCCAGACTGGCCCTGGGATCTGCCTGGACTTCCTTGAGTCAGCCTTTTATAGGTGTTTTCAAAATCCAGTCGGCTTAAACGTTCTTCTTTGGTGCCTTGGTTCTTGACTGCCTCCAGTCTCCAGCTTGCGCAGAGCTGCTGCGGCTTCTCCAGCGTGGCCTCGCGTGGCCCATACCTGACCTTATTGCCGGGGTGGGTGGTGATGAGAGTGACCGGCCTCGGGAAGATGCAGCTGGTCAGTCGCACGGGGGAGGCAAGGGGTACAGCAGCTCTGCGCTTGGTCTTGGGGGCCCGGACAAATGGTTTCTTCTGCAAATTTGGGGGTATCATGCTTCTTTTGAGTTTTCCCTTTAAAAGAAAATGTGAAATTTAAGCAAAATGGAGGAGGTGCAGACTACTCTCAGTGCTGCAGAATTTCCTGGGTTCATTGGGCTCTTCCCCCCGCCCCCGCCTCCGCCCCCGCCCGGCAGAAGTGAGTCTGAAATCACAGTGCGTCACCGGCACCTGGAAAGGTTGTTACAACTCAGGTATTAGGAAGAGAAGTTGGTCAGGGCTGGGGTCCCCAGTCTCAGACCCTGTCCCACATGCTCCTCTGCGGATGTGACTCTCTTCTCCCCCCCGTCCCTGCCCTCACACGCTGCTGCCCCCAGCCCACCCGGATCTGAGAGGCCAGGATGACAAACTTCACACACAGCGATTGACCTGGAACAGTTAAGGGTGTGAACACAGGCTACGACGTCCACACAGTGACAAAACCAGTGCTCGGTGCTTTTCTCAGAAGAAAAACCCATTATTATGTGGTGCATGGCTACCTTTAATTCACTCAAGGAATACCAACATTTAGGAAACTTTCCCCAAGACGCGTCCGAGCAATATGTTCTCGCCCCATTGAAGAATAGACCTGTGCTACCGGAAGAGGTTTCTCATTTTTGTCCTTCAGTGCTGGAAATTGAACTCAGTACCTTCTCTTCCAACTACATTTTGGGCCCTTTTTCATTTGTTTTTTTTTTTTTTTTGGTTTTTCTCCGGTACCGGGAACCGAACTCACGACCTTGCGCTTGTCAGGCAGGCGCTTTGCCGCTGAGCTAAATCCCCAGCCCCTTCATTTGTATTTTTAATGTAAAACAAGGTCTCACTTATTTGGTGAGTCTCCCAGGCGGGCTTCCAATTTGCAATCCTCCTGCTTCAGCCAGCCAGAGCGCTGGGAGTACAGGCATGCAACACCACACTCACCTTAAGGGGCACTAACTGAAAGAAAAAGTACACCAAGCACACCCCTGCCATCGGGACAGACTCCGCACTCACCACAGAAGGCTGGCTTGGCGCCGGGTGTGTCGCTGGCTCCCCCATGGTCACTGCTGCTGTCCTGCCGGTTCGGCTCCTGAGATGCGGACAGGCTGAGGCTCGCTGCAAAATGCAGCGAGGCCCGCATCTCCTTCCCCTTTTATTGGGGAGGGGAAGAGATTACCTCTGCAGGGTTCCAGTCTCCTCCCTTTTAATCCAGGCTGCAGATCACCCAATCTGGGATTTCCTACTCAGGACCAGCCGCAGGATACACCCTTTCTCAGATCCCAGGGTTTGAGGGATTCTTCACTCTTTTTGCAGAAACACAATACGTGGAGAGACTGATGCTGTCAAAACCTTGTACAAATGAAACTTTTTTAATATACTTTTTGTAGGGAGAAGTTATATTTGCAATTAGTGTCCATATCATAATGTATAGGTTTTGAAGGTTTTGTTTTGGTGTGGCTTTTTTTTAAAAGGCAGAGCCTTGGTCAGGCTGGCCTTGAATTCATGGTGGTGCTCCTGCCTCAGCATCCAGAGTGATAGGGCAACAGACATGCACCACCATGCCCGGCTCGTAAGGTTTTAATCATAAAAGAATTGTGTGTGTTTGTAGGATGCAATCCGATTTTTTTTAAAAAATAAGTTTATTGGTACATTTTAGATATACACAACGATCATATTCATCATAGGAAATTTGTACCTTTACATGATATATTTTGATTCCTCTTTTTTTCCCAATCCCCCCTCCTCCCTTCAACCCATCATCCCCTTCGTATTTACAAAGCTTTAGTAACTCATGAATATATCCGTATCAGAATATTTTACACTGAATTTTTGTAGTGCTAAGGATGGAACAAAGGGCTTTGTACTAAGACCCCAGCTCCTATATAAAATTTGACTTTGATTTGTTACATTTGAGACAATGTCCTCTTATGTCACTCAGTTCCCCAGACTGGCCCTGAAATTTCGCTCTTCTGGCCAGAGCCTCCCGAGCGCCGTGATGATAGGCATGCTATTATCAGGACCGGCTATTATCAGGACTTTAAATATACTTCCGCTTTACCACACTGTTTCAACAGCTGAAATACATTTCACAAAAATAGGAAGAAAAGTTTTGTGTAAAACTTTATACACAGTTGCTTAATATAGGAAAAAACTAGTCTATAAAAGTTCACTTTTTATCATCTCTGTATAACATGTGACACAACTAATAAAAGCTATTGTTTTGTACAGTAGCATTTTGCACAATTTCTGGTAAATTTCAGATATTAATCATCCAACTCTCCTGACCCTGTCCCTTAATGGATTAATGTTACTTTAGTTCCTCTGAATAAAATAATTTATTGTTCCATTGTTTTCTCTATAGATTTCTTACTTGTAATTACATTCAGATCTGTTAATAAATCCAAATGATTAAATCCTGGATTTTAAAATGGGCGTGCTGGCACACGCCCGTAATCCCAGCATTTGGCAGACTGAGGAACTGAGGATCTGAGACTGAGGCAGGAGGATCACACAAATTGAAGACCAGGGGCTGGGGATTTAATTCAGCAGCACAGCGCCTGCCTGGCAAGTGAAAGGTCATGAGTTCGATTCCCAGTACTGGAAAAAAAAAAAAAAAAAAAAAAAAAAAAAATGAAGACTAATATGGGCTACAGAGTGAGTTGAAAGCCAGACTGAACAAGCAAGATCTTGTCTCAAAAAAATCACGGATACTTGCTTTAATAAAGTAATGTTATATGGTTGTTATCTCTCCTCCAAAGCAGTTCACATGCAGCAGATCAGTTGCTGTTAAAAAGTTAAAACCATAGATATGCTAACACATTTCAGCGCGTTTATTATTGGTATGTGCTTGCAATACAGGAAATTTACATCCATTTTGGGGATCAATGCATATGTGAATCATACCTTAATCACTCCCATCCCCTTGTTCCTCCCATCCCCTTTTCCCCCTCCTGCCAGTGACCCCTGCGCCTACTCTGAAAAGTCTGCCTGTATTTTACTCTTTCATTTATTCATACCTGGGTTCCAAGAGACGGGGTGCAGTGTGGTGAGCCACAAATCTTACCAGTGAGATAGACAGGGTGAGGAAACAGAGGACAACCCCGGACATAAACTTTCTTGAATCTGTACTAACTGCACATTTCTTACGGCTCATACCTAACGGCCCCCACTGAATGCAATCAGCCATCCTCCCCTGGTGATTAATGAGTTATTGATGAAATCATTGGTATCGTAGCAGAAGCCAGAGGGGATAACATTTTGCACCATGAGGGAGGGAAGCCATCCCTGCTAGTTTGGGAGGATCCAGCACTCTGTGGACATCCTCGGCGGGTGCATGGCTAGGGCTGCTGTAACCCCATCGAGGAAGGCAGCCTGACGGCAGAAGGTCGCAGAGTCCCGCCAGGCACGAGGCAGCTGCAGCGGCTCAGTGTGAGCCGACCAGGATATTGCCGCTCCACTCTGCCCAAGAGACAGAGCGATTGAACACCAAATGGACTCTCTGAGCCCAGGGGTCCAGGCAGGGAGCATTTCCTGCAGCAGGGCTTGGAATCTGAGACTTACACAGGATTTGTTTCCTGCCAGACATGGCATTCAGGGAGGTGAGGCCGTGAGAGGCCACGGTGTAGGCTTGGATGCCTGAGTGTGAAGCCAGCAGTGAGAACATGGCTGGGATGCGGTGGTCAGAACAAAGCCTGACCTGCGCCTCATTTGTATAAAGCAAGGACCTATACCTTGACCTGATCTGCTGCTAGAGCCCACGTTTATTAAAAAATGAGATGCTCTGTGGAGGAATACGGTTTAGCAGCGCATTACATAGTTAATAAGTATAGATTGGGTATTACTAATTCACTTTTTTCTCAAATTCATTATTTTTAATATTCTTACCCCCAAAGAAATGAATTGCTCAAGTGATGGTTATGTTATTTAGTTCTTTCTATAATATATACTCAGATAAAACTTCACATTTTATGTCATATATATTTTTTTAATCAAAAAACAAAAAGAGGAATAATATACTCTTGTAAAGGTAATAATAAAAACAAATACAATATCCAATGTTTCCCATAGTATTTAAGTGAGAGATGTGTGGAACAATAATTAGTAATTAACGCTTGCTGGATATGGTTGTGTGTGTCTGTAATCCCAGCACTAGAAGGCTGAGGCAGGAGGATTAACCCAAGTTGGAGGACAGCCTGGGCTACACAGGGAGTTCAAGGCCATCCCAGAATACACATGAGACCGTCTCAAAAACAAACAAAAAAACAGAATAAATGTAATCAATGCTAATGAGTACATCATACCTAAAAAAAGGATTTATGACAATAATGTCCACCAACAGGGTGAGGAAGAATGTGTCAGGGTATGGAAACAGGATTTTTAGGCTGCTTGTATCTTCTCCCATTTCCCAGCACTTTCTTTTCCAAAACCGAGAGAAAACAGAGGGCCTTGACTGTCTTGAAAGCTGTGTATTGTCCCCACAAGAGATTGATGAATTAGTTTTCACTGTTGCCTAGAAACAGGGTAAGCATCAGCCATATGCCATGAGAGAGTTCCTGGTGAGATGCCATTGTAGATAGGGACCAACTGAACCTGGCACTCAGAGCAGCTGTGATTTGCTTCATCTCAGGGCTCCCAGTTTAAACTCCCACAGTGACTGGGTGAGGGACAGCCATGGGAGACATCCCCAGTCAGAAAGCTGTGGTGAGACCGGCAAGAGACACCCGGAGTGTTATAAGTTAAACAACTCAGACCCCACTCCCATGACCAGAAGCTAGACGTAACTGGAATTTCTGTGGATTTGAAAGTCACAGGGTCAGCACCCCGCCCTAATCCTACCTCACGCTTGCTGGGATTATCCAGCACGCCCTGGGCTCCGATTTTGTTTTTTAATCCACTCTGCCAGTCTGTTTCTTTTGACTGGTGAATTGAGGCCATTTACATTTATGGTTATAACTGATATGTGTTGGCTTATCATTATCATGTTATTTACTTGCTGTTGGTTCCTTACTTTTCCCGCCTGTTTAATTGCTTGCTCTTCTTGATGGTTCCTTTCTATTTTTGTTCGGGAAATTGTGGTCATTTTTTTCTCTGTCTAGAATATCTTTTAGTACCTGTCTATCAGCAAGAGTGGAGTCATGCGCTGAACTGGACACTGCCACGAAACGTAGACCCCAGAAGACAGCCCTGGGCTTGAAATCAGAAATTTCTTTTTTATCTCTTTTGTCCTTTTAGTTTTGATTGTTCAAAAAAATTTTTGTTGTTGTTGATTTAGTTTTGTTTTTAAAATGAAGTTTATTGGTACAGTTTAGATGTACATAATCACGTTCATCATAGGGAGTTGGGTTTCCTTTTTTTTTTTTTTTTTGCTTGTTTTGTGTGTGCATGTGTGTCTGAACGTGAGCACTGGTTTTAGTTCTTTCCTTTTGTTTTGTTCGTATTTTTGTTTTCTTCTTTCCTTCCCCTCTGTATTCTTCACCAATTTTCTGAGAGTGGAGTAATTCTCCTTTGTCCTTCAGTCTTGCTTTTAATCTCTTTCTTCTTTCATTTTGCAATTTTTTACTCTCGTTATTTATTTATGTTTTTTTAATTTTAAAAATAAAAGGAGGAAAACATTAACAAACAGACAACCTTTTACAAAATAGCAAAAGAACAGTACAGACAATACAGAGTTACAAAAAAGTGGTAGGAAATTAACAATGCTTGTTGTATTACATATTGATATCTTCAAAGTGGTTTCTCATGAAAACAGATAGAGACATGCAATACTGATCAATCAAGGACTCACTGACAGTTTCTTTCAGCAAAGAACTAGAAGACAGTAGAACAGCCATGTTGACTATCCTGCATATACATACATATAAAATTTCTCCTTCTTTCCCTTCTCTTTTCCCACATCCCAGTTGCCCTTTACCTTTGAGTGCTTTCCTATCATTTCACAATGTCTATCATATCTCCTGGTTTAAATTAACTCTTTCAGGTTTTACACTAGTGAAACAATGTGGAGTTTGCACATGCAGGTCTGATTTATTTCACTTATGAGTATGGTCTCTAGTTGCGACCATTTACCTATAAAGGCCTGGAGTTTATCTTTCTTTAGAGCTGTGCAATATTCCATTCTACAAAAGTACCACAATTTTCTTA